CGCCCCGCCGCACGCCACGAGTTCGAGGCCGGTCCCCGGCCCGTCCTGCCGCCCCACGGCACAGCGTCACCCGATAAATCCGACCCCCCCAGCACTAACCCCTTGGCTCCGGGGCTTCACTACACAGAGCGAAAGGAAACGGAGCCCCACAGCGCTCAGTTTCAGTAGTTTTTATTTCTAGCATCCACACATACCAGACGAGTCACCTCAGGTCCCGATTTACAGAGCACACTGTACGACCATGCACAGGCAGGCGTTTGATTCTAGAAACCGCAGGCATCATTTAGAACCACAGCAGGGGGGTTGGAACAGGATGATCTTTAAGGTCCCTTCCAACCCTAACCATTCTATGATTCTATGATAAATTAAGTCTTCTAGCCTCCACAAGACCTGGATGCAGCAGGCACGTCACTGCTAGATATGTGATTCTAATCAGCAAAGTTACAGGCAAGGTCTTCTCGCCGACACTGAAGCGATGTGGTCTGTTCCTGCAGGCGGCAGCTCCTCGGTGGGAAGGACAGCCGGCTCTCCGCCACCCCTCCTTAGTTCTTCTGGTAGTAGAACCACTTGTCAACTGTGTGGGGCAGAAAAAAAAAACCAGAGCAGGTTAAGCCCTCTGCTAGCCACCCGCTCATTAAAGTAGTCACAGGGCACCGCATGCGTCACCTCCAGCGCCGGGGCTTCCCGCCAACACCCCCGCCACGCAGCAGTCGGGTTCTCGCGGAGCCCTGTTTACGTGTATGTTTTCCCGGAGAAGTCACCCTCGCTCAGTCTACACATGACTCAGAACAGGCGAGGACAGCAAGGCAGAGCCAGCTCGGCTTCCCTCAGGCTCAGCTGACTCAGGGAGGTGAGCTCATTTCACCTCCAACCCCCATGCCTGCACCAAAGACACCAATTTCTTCGCGGGCTTGTCACCCGTGAAGAGGTTGGGAACGACAGCCCAGCTCCTCCACCTGCCACACAGCTGTGGGTTCTCAACGCTGCCCCTTAGCTCAGCCCTGCTATGGCTGGACTTGGCTCGAGGTGCCCGTCGCTCCCTCGTGCCGAAGGGAAAACAACAGCCGAGCGAGGATTCCTCACAGAGGCACATCCTGAGTCACCAAAAGGCTCGTTCCCAGCTCGCAGCAACACTTGTTCGGTGAGAGAACTCCGGTCAGTGGGCTCAGCAACAACTTAAGCACTCAACACACAGCTGACTTCTGCCCCTGCCCTGCGTGGGTAGGGAGTACTTCCCCTCCTCGGCTCGCCTGCACCGAGGATGCTGATGAAACTCCCGTTTCGGGGGAACTAAAACCGCCCTCCTGCAATCACTGCACTTCAGTCCTTTCAGTGCTCCTCTTTCAGGACCTGCTATACATCTCATCTCTTCTGGAGCAAACTGTGGCACTCGAGGTCTCCTCCCGACCGCTCTTTCCCCGCCTCCCGCACCCAAACCAGGAGGTAAAGCGGCAACAGGACGTTATTCAGGGCATGAACTGCACTACTAACACCAGTTAGACCCTTTGTTTCTCCTGCTGCTAGAGCCACACCCAGCCAACAGTTAAACCCCTGATTTTCCTACTGACAGTTCCCCTGAGGAAGTCTCCACTCGCTACTGGAACATAAACGTGGGTTTTGAGACTCACCTTCGGGTGGGATGGGGTTGGCAGCTTTGCCCGGCGGCGCCTGGAACGAGAAACACGTTAGCAGCCAGCAGCAGTTTGCGGAGGTTGACCTCGCGCCGGCAGCTCACCAGACGTCATTTCGAGCCGCGCAGGTCTTGACCCAGCACGGTTTAAGGTCCGCGGCCGGTGCTGGTCAGCCGGGAGGGAATAAACGAGCTCACGTGCGGCACGAGTCCTGCCCACCCCCACAGCCTCCTCATTCCCTAGACGTCCTACGTGCCGAAGGCGCTCTGGTCCAAGCGCAGGCTGCAGTGCCACCTGCTTCTCGCCGGGAGAAGTCCCCACTCCAGCGTCTGCGCGGTTGCGGGCAGCCTGCTTTATTTCAACCTGCGATGCCACGGTGGAATCCAAGCACAAAGGACTCTCTGAAAACTCCTCCAAAGAGCCTTCCCCTGATATTTAACCACTCCAGACAAACAAGGGTCCCTGGCTGGTGACACATCCTCCGCGAGGGCTGCACTTTCAGAAACGTACAGAGTAATTTGGGTACGACCAGAGGATGCAGGCACTTTTGAAAGCAAGACAATAGGTTTTAAAAGCCTCTCCAAGGCTAATGGAGAGACTCTGCTTTCCCGTCACATTTCCTGCACACTGAGGGAACATCTGCATTTTGATTTTTCCTTCTCATTCCTCTAACACCCTTCAAGTTGCCAAGAGCAGTACAAGCCCAGGGAGATGCAGTCAAGTCTCGAAACCGGGTAGGACTTCCTGAAACTGGGAACTTCAAGCCTTTCATTGCAAAGGATGCGAGGTCCCTAGCTGCAAGGCACTGCAACTTTCTTTTCTCAAAGGGTGACCTGTGCCGTGACGCTCTTGGACGGGCAAATACTTAAACACTCTCCGAACAGCTGACAGCCTGGTTCGGAAGTTTAGCCTTTCACCCAAACTCTGGTTTGGATTCCATCTCCCAGACGATTAAGGGCAGGGAGAAGCCTCTGGAGGAACGTCTGGCTTGCTCCACATCCACCCCATTTAACCTGAAACGGGTGCTGTGTCGAGTCATCTGAAAAACTCTGAGCATACAACGCACTATTCACAGAGAGAGAGTTCACGGTACCAGACAAATTGTCCCGTTTTGCCCGCTGGGGTTAGGACACTCCAAATTTGTACTTACTGCATCCACAGTCGCTTTTGCACACTCCTGACTGCAGCAGAAAGGGCTGTCGGACACCGTCAGATTTGTGCTAGAAGAGACAGGTCGCTTGTGAGAATGTGCGAGCCAAGTCTCTCCCCCAAGAGTACACGGTTATGGAATATTACAAATCATTGTTAGAGCTGCCAAGACGAAGGGGAAAGGGAAGGATACAGCCAGCAGCTAAACAGAAAGCATGGCACTGCTCCGGGCAGTTTTTTCCGGGTTTATTCGTGTAGGGGAAGGGAGCCTGCACAGTAGCGCAGGCATTAACCTACCAGTCGATCTCCCCTCCGTCAGTTTTCTTTGCTATTAAAGCTTTCCAGTGTTCGTGTGTGCTTTTGATGACATTCAGAGCAAAATCCTAGAGTGGAAGATGAGAACAAGCACGATGTTACGTGTCAGCACTAGCCCATCTTCTCCAGACTATCAGTTCCGTGGAACGAGAGGCCAGTATTTCCAGGCTGATTTTAGACAGTTTCTGACTCTGGAAGGGACTGGGAGAGACCTCTTCCGCTATTGCGCCTTTCAGGAACACCAGCAACCTCCCAGCTGGTGTTCCCAACCTCCTCAACAGCCGCAACAACGGGCATCTTAGGATATGAATTGTTTGGTTTCCCAGACGGGAGGCTACGCCAAGGTCACCCAGCGAGCTTGAGGCCAGAAGAAGCCCAATGCAGATATTCTAGTCCTGAGCCAGCGTTATATGACAAAAGCACCTCCACCCTTGCTGCTCCTCCCACTCGGTCCGTCTCCAGCAGCTAGCTGATCCTGTCCTATCTGCGAGCTTTTGTCCACTCCAGGCAAATCATTCGGCGGCTGTGCAGATCAACACGTACCTAATCTAGCTTTGCAGCTACTTAAAAGTGAATCTGCCGCCAAGCATATCAGAGTCTTTTTTTCCTTTTTATAAAAAAAAAAGTATACGCTCAAGCATTAACCTGTTAGCTGCAGAAGGAAGCACACACAGTCCTTTGTTTGCACCAGCAATAAATATCCTGGTGTGATACCGCATGGAGCCAAATTTTTAGGAATGCATGCAGGGTTTCTTTGTCCCTGTTTTCCGCCTTGGCTTTGATTAAGGACTCACCCATCCCGAGGGGCTGGAGACGTCCCAGCCCACCCAACCCAGTGCTGCGCTACAGTCGAAGGGGACAAGTCCACTCCTGCCCGACCTCCCTTGTAGCCCTGACCCAGCCCGGAGGGGAGCAGAGGAATAAGGCTGCCAGGGTACGGGGCCTTACGCAAAGGGCATGAGGGAACGCTTTATGCCCCAAGGAAGAAACATTTTATCTCCTGAGTTAAGTTTGACTTGTGCCCGGCTGTGTTGCACAGCGTTTTCTCCTCCTATTCCTGCAAGCACCGTGCTGGAAAACAAGCAGAAAGGTAGGCTGGAAGACAGCAGGAAAAACGAGATCAGCTACCAGCAGTCCTGTAAAAATTCATTCTCTCAGGGACCGGTGTCCCCACACAGCCCGAGCACAGTTTTTGGACAGCACACTGTTGCTCGTTCATGGTAATGAAGAAAAGTGATCCTACCTTGTCTTTAAATTCGCCGTTGAAAGCAAACTGGTTTTCTGGCTTTCCATCAGGTACTTTGTATCTTCTGAACCAGTCCACTGTGGCTTCTAAGTATCCAGGTTTCATCCTCCGGACATCATTGATATCTGGCCCCGGAGAAGAGGTTTGTTAGCCAGATCTAGTAACAGAAGTTACATGTCCTAACCTGAAACGCTCCCTGTGGGCTCCCAACAGAGAAAGGGAAGTACTAAGCCCGCTCCTCCTTCCCGTTACTTACCATTATACTTGTCTGCTTCAGGGTCTTCAACGTTGATAGCAATTATCTTCCAGTCTGTCTCTCCCTCATCAATCAGCGCCAGCGTGCCCAGCACCTTCACTTTGATGACTTCTCCTCGAGAGCAGACCTGCAAGGACAAAGCCCCTGTTTGTCCGTACTGATGCATCCAAGGAACGCGCGACAGGGGCCTGCGCGAGATGCAGGAGCTCAGCAAGCGGTCGGGTACCACTTATCAGCAGTTCGCAGCAGCGGGAGCCATCATGTTCTTAAGGCGGAGGAGGTAGGAACTAAAGAATGTCTCTGGACGATTGACTTTCACGACATTAATTACACGTTTCAAAAAGACAGTTACCCTCTAGAATGCGTTACCTTGCTTCCAATTTCGCACACGTCAATTGGATCGTTATCTCCACAGCAGCCAGTGTTTTCATCTTTGTGACCTGGGTCTTCCCAAGTCTGCAAAAAACACCCCCCCAACACACACACACAAATGAGGACACTCGGGTTTCGAGAGGAAACGAAAAGCAGGTTTATTCCAGGCGTGCAATTGCCTCCGAGATACAGATGACGGCCCACTTCATGCTTGGCCTCAGGTCTGGTGGTTGGGCTACCATTCCCACTGCCTGCAAACGCAGTCCGAATCCCAGCTAAACGGTCCTACCCTGCCAAGTCCAAACTGCTCCCTCCCACTGACAAACCTTTTTGGCAACAACTTCCCAGGCTTCCGTTCCACAGCTGCACAGAGGTGAAGTTCACCTCTATAAAGAGCACTCAATTGATTTGGCTGCCTGCCAGTTCCTCTCCCTATTCATTTCTTAACAGAAGTTTCCTGAACTCCAGATAGCAGCCCAGTAGAGAAGGAAAAGGGACAGGGTGTATTGTTTCCTTTTAATTAAATAACTGAAGGCACCGTGACAAGAATGCAGTGTCCCATACCCTACCCTAAGTTGGAGGACAGGACTCCAGAAGGCATTTGAGCTCTACTTCCAAAAGGAATGGTTGCTTAAAACACACCTTTCTGGTCAGGAGCAAAAGGACACCAGGCCCATTTGCATCGTAAAAAGCACCTACCTCCAAGGTTGTTGAGATATCATAAAAGAAGGAATGCTCTTCCCTAATCTCTGCATGCCAGGACACGACTAGTACAGTCAAGACCTCGTGATGCATGCAGAACATTCAGGAAGAAGTACTGAAACCTGGGTGGTGCTGAAGGACTGTTCACAACCACTATTGCACAAGGAATAGTGTTAAGGAAGTGTTAAGTTCAGTCCCTCGACACATTCGCTTCTTTGGTCCACTAAGACGTGACTGGGAGAATGCTCCAAAAGCTGTAATTCTGTACAAGGAAACCGGCTCCAGAACCCATCCGAGTAGGAAACCAATTCAGCTTCAAAAGACCACCTCAAGCCAAGAAACCATAATAGACAGAACATCCCTTTCCAGCAGTTAGAGGAACTCCAAAGTAGCTGTGGAACCCTTACACAGCTTGAGAGGAGCTGCACACGCATTCAGAATTCAAGGAGAAGCTCTCCATCCGGGGCCCAGAAGTTATTCTTCCACTAAGCTACAGTGTCTTATCCTGTAAAGCTTTAAATCACGAAAGGGTTGGGAGAGACCTTGAGATGCTCAGCTCATCCCTCCACCCAAAGCAAGGCCAGCTTTTGCAAAACATTCCCAGGCCATACCATCCTGTTGCTTTGCCATTCTGGCCACGGGAAAAGCTTTCACTGTGGCAGGAACCAGAGGAGAAGATTAAGGTTAAGGCCATTACTCGTCCTCTCCACAGCAGAGAGAGGAAATAATTCAGTTGTTATCTATGCAAATGCATGAAATGTTGCTGCAGAGTGAGAAGACTTGCCTTCATCCACTGTTTCACACAAAAGCATCCCAGACTCCTTCACACTCTCTTCCTATGGGAATAGTTTCTACAGGTGCAGCTGCCTCTGTTGCTCCCACTAGACTGTCTTCACCTGGCCCTTGTCTTTCTCAGGACCCATCACCTAGACCCAGACTCGCTGTGTCCCTGTAGAGATGGGAACATCTTCCCTTTCCTATTCTTTTTGTTGGGATTGAAAGGTCCCATTGGGTCCCACTTGAAAGCCACATCATTTTGCTCAAAAGGACACAGGCTGCCTGCTTGTTATCTTCAGGAATGTATCTAAACATGCTTTCTGTGGCTGACCGTGCTCATTAATTTGGTGGTAGAGACACACACAGGCATCCTCCCTCCTCCCCACCAGAAGGGATGAGCCACCGAGACAAGCGACAGTACCTGTGGGATGGCACCGTAATTCCAGATATAACCCTTATGGGGAAACACGTTTGCTACGTAGCGCAGTTTTCCTTTCTTCACGTCTTGCTTAATTGGGTTTAAGGGATCCTTTGTTGCAATCTGTAAGAAAAGTTACATAAATCTCTCTACTTTGCTCTCTAAGAAAACCCACGCCGTGATTTTTTTTTTTTTAGATGAAGCTGGCTGCTAATGGAGAAGCCAAGAGCCCAGGAGCTGACCCTGAAGCCAACAGTAGATATTGGACAATTCCACCTCCTGTTGCGTTGCCATCTCCTGGGATACAGCTTTCAGCAGACTTACGAAGGTCAGAAGCACACGGGGCCGAGAGCCGTAAGATGCTGCCATAATCAGAAGCCCAGATCCATGCTAAGTTACTGCGGCGTCTGTCAGCCCCAGCCTCCATGCCATACCTCCAGCAAGTACTGACACAAGAAGCTAGAGTTATACCTAGAACGCTCCCTTGGCATGATGCCTGCAGTACAGCAGGCTTTGAAAGGCCTTAGTTATTGGGGCCGAACTATTTTCTTGCTAGTTAGGGAGCCACCAGTGTTAGACCACCCCGATTCAAGGTGAGGAGGAGAGAATCAGCAAAGTCAAAGATTAAGAGGCGAGTTGGCTCAAGCACTTAAGCTAGGAACTGTAAGAGTTACCTCCATTTTAGCATTTGTCCATCGAGGTACTTCCACAACCATGTTGAACACGTTCTGAAGAAAGCAAAATATCAGTGAACGGGAAGGAATCTCGAGATCACACTTTAAACCAGGAAATGCACATAAGCAAGCAGGAAAACCAACCAGTTGGCACGAAACCTTAACTTTTATAGGGGTTTTGCTGTTTGCTTGGGTTTTTTTTTTTTTTTTTTTGTTTTGTTGAGTTTTTTTGTTTGGTTGGTTTTTCCCCAGTGCCAGCGTCGATACAGTTGACACAAGTCTGGTAGTCCGGCTGGTCACGTCATCACTCAGAGCCGAATCCCATGAAAGACACCAGCAACAGCCAGACTGAGGTTACCCACCCATCCTCCATCGGTTGCCACCTACGAACATCGCCATCCCGTTGCCAGGAAATGGAACGGCAGGTTTAATGAGTCGAAGACAGCTGCATACAAACTACCCCGGGCATAACAAAATGAGGCTTTAGGCACATTTATTAAATTCAAAGCACTTAATACTACAGCAAGAGCCACCCTGGCAATTTAGAAGAGACAAGGCTTACCAGAGTAAGCCTTAAGTAATGTGGGTACCTACGTACTATCCTCAGTGACTGAGAGTTCACTCCCAAATATTCTAGTCTGTCTTGAAGTAGGGAGAGATGCCCAAGCTCCCTCCCTCCAAGCCAACAGACCTTCTTAGCAGCACGGTTCAAGGATAAAGTTTTGGGGGGAGAAATGCAGAACCAGCTTTTGCAGCATCTAGTTTACAGGTGACACTTGAAAACATCTCCTGTGTACTCTAGCTGGGCTGAGAGGACTCTTGGAAGTTCAATGCCAGAGTCTCCTCTTCAAGAAAACACGCTTTTCTACCCGTGAACTTTAACATTTGCTGTTTGAAGAGACTACGGCCTTTAACAAAAAAATCAAACCTTGGTCCCTAGCACCGACAAGGTTTCTAATCCCCGGGTTAAGCGGTGTTAGCACTGTAAAAATCCCTCGCACCTGTATTGCGCCATAATTAGATTGCAACTGCGCAACGAGCGCTGTTACATCACCGATTTTGCCCACACCCTTCCCTCACAGAAGTTTATTACATCCCCTCAATTGCAGGGGGATCACTGCTCATTGGGAACTTAAAAGTAAAAAAGGCCTAGACAATTTTTTATTAAGCAACCCGAAAGGAATGAGGCAATCGGAACTGGCTAGACAGGGTGCTTACAGTTTTGTGGGCAAGGAAAGACGACTTGGGGGTGCATCTTTGTCAGGCTTGCAGTTTCCCCCAGCCCAGCTAACAGACCTGCCTCAGTCTAAGACACCCAGCGAGTCGCCAAGGTCGTTCCTTCGCAATGCCAAGACACGTGGGTGCAGATAAGGTCGCCACATCCCAGCCCTAGACTGAAAAAACACCGCCCTGCAATCCTCTCAGTGTCTTAGCAGTCTGAGGATAAAGATCAAGGAGCCCAGACGGAATAAGACAACCTTTTGCTCCAAGCTGTGCTCCCTCCCATAGCTGGTAACGAACCTGCTGAGTAACGAGCAAAATCTCTGCGGAGAGGCACTCCGGCAACAGAAAGAGGTCTAATGTGATCCGCACTATTGTGTAACTTTGGGGACTGCAGACCTTCAGCAATACTTGCTTCTCCTAATGACTTGGCGCTGGCAAGCAGCACCGAGCGCCTGAAGGCACACCAGCCATCGAGTTTCCCTTGTTAATCATTACCAGCCCGAGGAAACCCTCCTCACCCTTATACTCACACCCCTGCCCTTTCCTCCCCTGTTCAGTGAGCGCTACAAAGCGAAGTGTTACCTGGAAGTTCCTTGTCTGAGTTACCTTTCAGACACCTGCTTCTGAAAAGTGCTTTCCCAGTGGGGCACAGAAACTGTTTAGCCACTGCCATCGATGATTATAACCCGTCTTTTCCCTTCTGAGCAGGCAGAAGCCACCTCAGACTTCCCAGAGGGTATTCTGACAACAACTGCCCCCCAAAGTTGAACCAGCTACTTTTTAGAACTTCATCTCTCAATCCTGCATGCGCTTTTCCTTTCCCTTCTCTACCTCCAAACGACACGCCTCTGTCACGAACACTAAGAGACTGCGTTTCTCACGCTGCCAACAAGCTACAAAGGTGGGGAAGGCAGCCCAGGAGCCCGCATTATGACGGGAAAAGCCTTCAGCACCAACTGAAGCACGGCCATCCTGGTTTCCTGCAGCTGGGGCGTTTGAAGACGGTGAACAGCCCAACTGACCGGCTGCTGGCCGACAGAAGGATGCAGCATGCGGCAGATCCCCCACCCGCACGATGTGTGAGGCAAGGGGTCCCCAGGAGCTGCCGCAGCAAGAATTCCGCGCCCTCACCTTCCTTCTGTTCCACGGCTGGTTACACCGTGGGCGTAAAGCGGTCTTAACGCAGCCAAAACGCAAGCCTGAAATATCACGCAGCCTGAGCACGGAACCTCTATAGGAGCAGATGTAGATATCGACCTAAACGTAAAACTGCTGCTTTTAACCCAAAACACTTTTATCTGACCTCATGGGCAAGCCCGAGACGCCTCTCGGGAATGTGAGAATGAGAGCATCAGCCCTCTCACCACCCGGCCTGGTGCTCCCTTGCCGCGGTCCCTTCCCCCTCTCACCTTGCCAGCGTCGGCGTAGACGGGGATGTCGTGGAAGGGGGAGATGTAGCGCCCGGCGGCATCCTCTGCAAGGCAAGGGGGGGGCAGGGCGAGTCAGGCCCGGCCTGAGG